TTGCACGTGAGAAAGACCAAGTATCAAATGGAGAAACTCATCAAAAAGAGTGATGATTTCGAGGAATATCCAGAGGAGAACCCAGAGAATGAGATCAAATTTTGATTTGGATCTATATTCGAGGATTCAGCAAATATAACAATTCATCACCATTATCAAGACCCAAGGTATGGAGGCGAGTTGAAGGGGACTCTGCCAATTCTTGATCTCAAGTTAGCTCAAATGACACTAAAAATAGCCAGTAGAAGACCAAAGACCATGCTAGAAAGAATTGAGGAGCTGGAATATGAGACATCAAAAGAGTATCAAGATTTCATCCATCATAACTACCACATGTGACCCACAATCAACCAATAATTACAACTGTATGAGGAGATGATGATGAGGTGGAGCTTGATCAAAACAACAATTGAAAAGGAGCCTAGCTGAGCCTAGATCCAAGGCATAAAAGAAAGAGCACTCCTTGAGAGAGAGAGCCAATGTTTGGCGCCAAACTTAATGACGGTAAACAAAAGTGCTATAGAGCACTCCATAAGAGGGAGCGCATGTTTGGCGTCAAACTTAATGACGTTAAGCAAAAGTGCTATAAAGGAGAAGAAATATAGGTCTTGGGCGACTCACACACCTACTTCCCAGTGAGTTAAATGTATCGCTTGCCACTTAAGTATAACATATGTTGCACATGAATTATCTAATTTATTTTGGTTGCAACTAAACCATATAAATTGGATTTTGGTTGCAACTTAACCATACAAATCAAATTATAGCTGCACCATCACATTTTTCGTCCATATACTTAACGACGGGTATCAAACAAAAATTATTATTCCACAATTTCTGAGAAAATAAAACTATATGATCATTTTGCATAAATATCAAGTTTATGTGACCAATTTTAATAATTACCCTTTTCCTGTCTCTTCTATTTCTCTTTCTCCTTCCTCACTAAACCATCATCCTCTTCCATTCCTAAGATGAACTCGAGGAGAATTGAAATCCTAAATTGCATTTCCCCTTCCATTGAGTTGCAAACTGCGTTTAAAATCTCCATAATTGAACTGAAACATCATCCCAGTTCAGGCGCGTGACTTCTGCTTGGTCACCTTATTGTTAGTGCTGGGAACTATGAAGGTCGATTTGCTATTATTGTTGCAAACGACTTTGGGAGTGGGGGCGAGGTTGGTGTCATTGTTGAAGAAGTAGGAGATCAGAGTCGGAGTTGGAAATCAGATTGCTAGTTGTCCCGCCAAAACTGATAGGGAGGAGAGAGTTAATCATCAGAGATTCTTGATCGGTAGGAAGAGTAGTCGAGGGGAGGAGAGAGGGAGGTGGAGAGGGATTTCTAGAGGCTTTACTGAGAGCTTTGCTGACACGAACGTAGGCTATGAAGATCCATGAGCCAAGGGAAGGTGGAATGTAAGTTTAAGGAATCAAAGAGGGAGAGTTCTCCGATGAAGAAGCCATCTGGGTGATAATTGCAGAAGATAATCTGTAAGGAGTGATGATATTGGATTTAATTTTAGTTTAAGATGTCGTTTGGAAGTTGCGACTGTAAATGTTGTATTTGGGAAATATATACGTTGTCCACAATACAATGTTTGGAAGTGCAAAGCTACAAAACAATACATGTATTGTTTTTTTGGGTAAATACAATTTAATATCTAAACCTTTTATTTTAAACAATATAATAGCCAAACCTTTTAGAAAATAATCTAATATCCAAATCGTCAACTTTCTGTCTAATTGACCGTTAGTTGACACTTCAAAAAAGTTCGAAGTACGACACTTCATCAATATCCATCGATATCTTCTCTGAAAAACCACCAACATATCGTAGTTTCAAACCCGAGAAGTCCATGACTCCACCATAATGGTATAGAATATCTAAATATTCAGTCATCTGCAATGCCAAAACAAGAAACAAAGTTGTATTGTGACAATTTCACCTAAACAAAGCTTTTTTGAAGTGTCAACTAACGGTCAAACGAACGGAAAGTTGACGATTTGGATATTAGAATGTTTTCGAAAAGGTTTGGCTATTATATTGTTTAAAATGAAAGGTTTGGATATTAAATTGTATTTACCCTTGTTTTTTTGTGATCCTACCTACAATCAACAAAAATGAGGGATTGTACAATCTCAACTAAAAATTAAGATTGTTGTGATTGTTGTTTAATAGTTGGACCACCTTTCCCTTTTTCATTTATATCCATAGTTCATTTTTTATATATTAAAAGTGGAGAACAAATGTGACAATGACAATCAATTCATAAATGACAAAGACTTTATATCCATGATTTTTAATAAAGTGACTTTATGACAATCAATTCATAAACTACAATATCAATAACCAAACAATGTAGGGGTCGTTTGCTTCATGGATTTAAAAATGAGGATTTTGTAATTTAAAAACTCAAGGATTTATCAAGGATTTGAGGTATTATGGATTTGTAACAATCATTGTTTATTGAGATGTTTTATCATGGATTTAAGGGTTTGGGATTTAGAACTTAAAGTCCCAAATTACCATACTATCCTTTTCTATTTGTTTGTCATATTTATGATATGTACACGAAACAAGGACAATACGTACTAATAAGCATAATGTTGCCCCGAGAACAATAATAACAAACGGGAAAATTTCGTTTAACTTTGAACGTAACATATATCGGTTATTAATTCTTTGTCCTCCTTTTCAAATGTAACATATAGCAACATATATTAGAGCTAAGGAACAAAGAATTACACGTTCTATGAAAATGTCAAAGGAAACTAGAATATAAGAAATGGTATAAAAAATCTAACTCATGTTCGCACATTAATTGAATATTTATATTATTTTTTTTGCTGTTAATTAATTAATTATTTATAATATACAATAAGTAAATTTGAGGACAACCTTGAAATTTTAAAAGTTCATAAGGGTATATGAGTAAAATCTCATCATGGATTTATGACATATTACAAATCCCACATCGATATGTGGGATTTACAAGTCTATGGGGTCTATGTATTTGGAGCCTTAAAATCCATGGGCCCCACAAATTTGTTCACTAAAAGTAAAATGCAAGCAAACGATGAATTTTCCTTATATCCATGATAAAACTAATTGGGTATGCCTACTATGACATGCATGTCACCGTGACATGGACTTTTCGGTCGACCTAATCCTGAAGGCGGTCGACCGAATTGACTAATTTGGGCAGCACGAGAAAGCATTGCGGTCGACCTCAACGACCACCTGGTCGACCGCACTTAGTTTAAGTTGTTATTTTCGGTGGAAATCACGCATTAGAGAAGATGACGGCGAATGCTACATTAGGTCGACCTCACCTTAGACGTGGTCGACCACTTTCGACACGTATAACAGCAACCGCGAACAATCTTCTTCACAAAGGCTCTAAATCGAAAAAAACCTAATTCAGACTTTTGGTGGCGTTGAAGGGGACTTATATTCGTATTTATAGAGATTTAGGACGTGAATGGGTCGACCCAATTCGTTTTCTTGTCCAATTGTGGAACCTTTCTGCTGTTGGAATCCTTATCCAATACGGATACGGTGTGCATGTGGTCGACCTCTTAAAGAGGTCGACCTGATAGGTGCACAAGGATCGGCCTATGAGATATTTGGGTCGACCTTTCATTCTGTTATACCACCAAAGAGGTCGACCATTTTATGTAGACGGTCGACCGCGTCTCTGAACCTCACATAACTGAATTTGTCAATTCGGTCGACCGCCTTGTGGATTAGGTCAACCGAAAAGTCCATGTCACGGTGACATGCATGTCACCGTAGCAAAATCCAAACTAATTTGGGTACAAAATCCATCATTCAATTCCACGAAGCAAAAGACCCAGTAATGTCAAAATGCATCTATTGTGTCAATGCATGCATTTATATAATAGTGATTTATAACAATACAACGATTTAACATACGCAACTTCCACAAGAACCCAAAGAGATATTTAAGAACAACAAATCATGGTGGTTTGGAGCGAACAATTGAATGGAAAGAAATGGGGGAAGAAGGAAGAGGTCATAGATTGGAAAGGTGATGGAGAAACAGAAGAGCAGAGATCGAAAAATTGATAATTATGAGAAAGTGATCGGATAAGTTTGACACTTGTACAAAATGATTCTATATGTTTTATTTTCTCCGAAGTGGTAGCACAAAATTTTGAGTATGATACTGACTATTAAGTCTATGAATGGAAATTGTGATAGTGCAACCAGGATTGATTTATATAATTTAGTTTCAACCAAAATTTGACTTATAGGTTTGCTTGCAACGAAAATAGGTTAAATGGTACGTGTGCAATTAGTGATGGCAATGGGGCAGGGCGGAGCGGGTACTTCAATACCCATGTCCCGCCTCACGCTACTGCAGGTCGGAGTGGGTAATACTCGCGCAGTTACGGCATGTTATGTGCAAAAAATAAACGCAAAATTTACTTCTTACGATAAAATGAAGTGGAAAACATCTTATGAATGAAAAATAGTGATAATAGAACGGGTAATTAAGTCTAACTAGTTGAACGGTCGAATCTAACTAGTTGAAGAAAAGTCAAAATATGGAGTTGGATGGAAACTAACGGGAGAGTGACTAAATGTGACATGTTTCAGTAATTCAAGTGACATTCATAAAAAATAGTAATTCGAGTGACCGGAGTTGGATAGAGGCTAACGAGAGAGTGACTAAATGTGACCTGTTTTAGTAATTCGAGTGACCAAAATTTATATTAATTTTTTCTAGTGAGTAAATATAACACGTTTTGGTTATTCCAATGACCAAATGTGACATTTAACCCTATAAAAAATTTAGATAAAATGAGTTAAGAACGGGCAGGGACACGACGAGACATGAGGATCGGCAATAGATATCCATGCCCCGTCCCCCGCTAGTCATTCACTATAGTTGAATGGCAAACGGTGCATTTAACCCCTTCCTAGTCGTCAAAGGACTGTACGGAGCTTCGATCGTCTCCCTTGCAGTGAGATTATGGCCGTCCAAGCAGGGGTTCCAGGAATGACGGCGGAGGAAGGAGTGCCGGTACGTCTGCTGCTAAGTTTACCGATAAGCAGTACTTGAACATCTAGCAGTCTATGGGACAGTCCGTTCATATTTTTGACCTCTCCGGCAGTCTTAATCTACTGGTATCCTGATTCCGTCCTCTCCATTCATATTTAATCGTATCCGTCTTCGCCGGAATTTTAGTTTCCGTCTCGTTTCTAGTCTCGTCCATGGCCATTCGCTTATTCAGGGTGGCGGTGGTTCACTTCCATCAAAATTTCGCTGCAGGAATCGAGGTGCTGAAAACTTGTATGGTTATTCTGCGGCGGAGGCTCTTGGTCGGAACCTCCTTGAGCTGATTGTAGATCCCAGTGATACAACGATCGCGCAAAATATTGTTCAGTGTGAGAGCGCTGGTCAGGACAGTTTTCTATGAGTACCAAGAGCGGAGATAGGCTTACAGTTGTGGTGGGAACCATTGGGCGGTGTGGTATTCCGGTTGAAGCTGTGAAGCTACCAGTCGGAATAGCCCCAGCTTTCGAACCAGCTGCTTTCTTTACCCCCTGTTCTGGAGCGAGGGAAAGAGGAGGGGAGGGAAAAAGAGGATGGAAAGTGTGGTTACCAAGGAATTTTCCCCCGTTCTAGAAGGCCGTAACAGTGCGGAGGGAAAGGAAAGAGGAGAGAATATCTCCTGTACAAACCAACCCTCCAAAAGGGAGGGAAAATGACTCTTCCCTCTAATACGCGTCCTTTTTTCATTCTTTTTTTCTTTTCTTTTCACGTCGTTTATCTTTCCTCATTAATCAAATGGTAATAAATAATGGTAGTAAATAATTATTAAAAAACTCTCTTTCCTTATAAAAGTAACCTACCATTTATTCGTTTATAATACAAAGTCATTCTTTCTCTTTCCTCTTTTCGTAATTAAAGATTTTAATAATTATCATTAATGAAAGAAGTAATTAGTAAGAGATATAACGTTGTCTAGGTTTATTTTTACAATAACAATTGTTCTTGGTTATTAAACATAATTAATAAAAGTTCATTAAAGAAACATAATTTATAAAAGGGTAAATACAATATATTAGCCACAACTATGGAAATTCAAATTATTAGTCAAATGTTAACTCTCTGTTAAAAATTCCGTTAGTAATGCTAAATAAACTTTTGTGATTTAAAGTTATAAATTAAAAGCAGTCCGACGTGGCTGCTGTCGTGGCCTTCTCCGCTAAAAATTCATTAAAAACATAATTTATAAAAGTATAATTATGATCAGTAGTTATAGGTAAGTATAATTACAAAAATTCTTATTATTGAAAATCAAGTTCTTAATACTGAAAATTTAATAATCACAAAAACAATCACCATACAAAATAATATTGAATCAAATGTTTAAAAACATCATATTCCATAATCAATAATCAATAAAATAAAATATCTATCACACTTCCCTATATACTTTTTCCCCCTCTCTATCCCTTTCACTTTCCCCCATAAAACAACATTTTCTTTCCAATTCTCTTCCCTTCCAATTTTCCCTCCCCTCCAAATTGTCTCTCCCCTCCCCTCCTTTTCCTTCCCTACTTCGGAAACAGAGGGTTAGAGTTGAATGTTGTCCAACTCGTGTATCAACGTATAATAAGTTTCCGTGATAAGGGAAATAAAGCACCTGCTCTTCCATCGAAAGCAGTATTCCATCCCTAATAGCCAATACAGCATGGTAGTGGAGATGTTCATTCTGATCATGGTTTTGCGGATGTAGCAGCAGAACGTAGAGATGATCCCTCAGTGCTAGTACGCCTATGGCAAGCTCACTGAGGGGAGGTTTTCATCCATCTCTCCTTTTGTTGTCTCGCCTTCTGGCGATGAGAATGAAGGGAAACCTGCCACATCCACAAGATCATCACTTCGAAAGCAGAACTACGAAGTTCAATTGGCCTTGGTTGCGGAATGATCAAGAGGGTGAATTGAATCATCCCTGTAATGGGCCGTGTTCATCATCTGTAACGTTGTCCGCACGAGCAGCAGTACTGTGAATATGATAGATGTGGAACCTGATAGCTTGGATTATGAGATATTGTGGGAAGACTTGACAATTGGAGAATGAATCGGACAAGGTTGTCAACGTTGTATACAACACTTGCCCTACCGTGGATTTAATGATTTCTTTCCTTCAATGGCTCATGTTAACCCTGTTATTACTCTTTCAAAATGTTTATGCAGGGTCTTGTGGGAACTGTATATCATGCCCTGTGGTATGGATCAGTATGTTCTTCTCCTCCTCCCTCTTTTTATCGTAATTCCTTGTAATGGTGGTATTACTGTGCATCAAGTGTTGACAGCTGAATATCAGCTCTTGCTGAGGTAGTTACTACGATCCTGAAGTTTGAACTTTGACATAAATGTATCGAACGTGAACTTTCCATGCTGTTGCCAATTTAGACCGGCATTGTTCATATGATAAATGTGCTGTGGTACTTGCACGAAACTGAAGCGCACTATAGTGGGGTAGCTAGTTTCTTTATCAAACCATTTTTTCAGGAACACTAGAATATATGATGATCTCTTTAGATGGTTGAAACTTGAAAGATGGCACCTTTTTTTCGTTTTCAGGATGTTGCAGTCAAGCAGTGGCGGATACATGGTGCTTTAGGGGTGTCCCGGGACACCCCTAAATTTTGGGAACACGATTATTCAACCCCGGTAGTAGTTTCGTATGGATAAACAAAATATAATTAGTAATCTGGGACACCCCTAAAATTTTAATAAATGATTATCTTACTCTCGATAGTAGTTTGCGTGATTAAAAAATATAAGTGGTACTCTGTGTTATTCAAATCTTGGACACTCCTATTATTTAACATCTTCTCCATTATGTTATAACTCATTTGTTGTTCTATTTTAAACACTATGTAATGGTGAAAACGCGATTTCTTATCCCCAGGGGTACCCTAATTTGAATTGATTTTATGGTTACACTGCAAGTGTTGAAATAGTCTTTTTAACTTTGAATTACATCATGAACAATGTTAGAAATTGAATACGCAATCTAGTAGGATATACCGATTTGTTGAGCAGTGTACACACCAAATCTATCTGAAATATGAAAACACATCGTGGCTTTTTGTCAACATTTATACTAATTGTATATTTTATTATTTATGTATTATTTAATTATTAATTTAATTAAATTTTTGAAAGGGGACACCCATAAAAAAAATTTCTAGATCCGCCACTGCCGTCAAGGTATTCTCCAAGCAAAGAGTATTCTGACAGTGTGATACTTTCATTTAGACAAGAGGTGTGATTCTTATTGCTTTATGTTATGTACTGTCATCTATAATTCAAATGTTGTAGTAAAACTGTCTTTTCCTTTTGTTTGAGCGTCTTGTAAACCATTCTATGTGGCTGAAGGTATCCCCTTGCGAAAAGACTTCGCCATCCAAATGTTCTGCTCTTTATGGGTGCCATGTCCTCACCTCAGCGTTTCTGTATCATTACAGAGTTCCTACTCCGGTACTTACCTTCCCTAAAAGCTTCTTGTCTTAAGTTGCCAGCTCTACCTTTCTTTGAATGCAAAATCAATTAGACCAAGACACTCTTCTCCTGTTTGCCTGTTATGCAGGGGAAGTTTGTTTCAGTTACTCCAACGAAACACAGCAAAACTAGAGTGGAGATGGAGAGTGACCATGGCATTGGATATTGGAAGTAGTGGATCCTCAAAGTTCTGCTTGGTTTATTCGTTCCTTCCACTGATGAGAAGCATTGTCTGATCTTTCTTAGTCAATCGGTAGATGAAGCATTTGACGATCTTTCTTAGTCATGCGGTATGAACTATCTTTATCATTTCAACCCTCCTATTGTCCATCGTGATTAGAAGTCTAGATAGTCGAGAGCTGCTGGCTCAGGCAAATGCTTCAGGCACAGGATAATCGAGAGCTGCTGGCTCAGGCAAGTCGTCATTTTCCGTCACAATCATTCTTTCCTTCCCAGAGTTTTGGTCCATTTAATGTCACCGTTGCTGATGCTAGCTAGAACCTAGATATTTATTTTGTGTGTGTGCGTGAAATACTCCAGTGGCTCGGATATCACCAGGCCATTAGTAAGTCGGTTATGGGGCTCGTTCGTCTGAAAAGCGACAGGCAAGCGAGACCTCCGTCCAAGGCGAGACCTCCCTCCAGCGATTGAGACGTGCTAGTGATAATGGAAGTTAGACGTACCAAGTCGTAAGGAGGAGAGAAGCGAATGAGGGAGTTATGTCGCTATAAAACGGCTACATTTCAACCTACAAGTCACAAGTTGGAATTCTGAGGGGATGTTCCAACCTTGTGAGCCATGGGTGGGTTGGATTTGAACCGAATCATGCTTTCATTACTTATGGAACTTTGCTAATGTGTTTTAGCTTTGGTACACTGACTGCAGTGACCCAGCCAGGCGCCCCCACTTTTCCAAGAACTCCTGGAAAAGCTGAGAGCACGCCAGAGACAGTACACCATTCAGCTCCAGGCTGCCCGTTCTTCCTCCGCTCCGCAGCAGCTGGAGAGCATCACAATTCACACCACCATCCTCCAACAAGGAAAGCTAGCCATAATAAATTTGTAAGAACGATTTGCGGAATAGAAATAACACAGGTTTTACGTGGTATCCCCGAGTATCGGGACTAGTCCACGGGAGAGCTTAACTCTCCGGAGTCACTCTTATTATTCTTGTTCAAGTTGCGGCCAGAGGCCTTACATCATATTTATACCCTTTGTGTGCAGCTAGGGTATGAGAGGAATAAGGAAGATTCCTTTTACAACAAGGAACGGAAACACTTCCTACTATAATTGACCCATTATCATCATTCTCAACATGGGCCTTAGCTGCAGCGGGTTGCCTCTCCTGATGTCGCTGCGGATCTCGCATGGGTCGTGGACCTTGGGCCACGTCCATTACTCCCCCGCAAGCTGTGACGTGAAGATCACGAACGTGCAGCTTGGAAAGAAGGAAATGAAATCTCTCTGCACCAAGACCTTTGGTAAACATGTCGGCAAGTTGACAATGCGAACTTATCTTTGAAGGAGCAATATCACCTGACTGAACACGCTCACGAACAAAGTAACAGTCCATCTCGACATGTTTTGTGCGTTCATGAAAGACTGGATTTGCAGCGATATGGAGAGCAGCTTGATTATCACAGTAGAGTGTCGTGGGGCCGGTCTGTGTGGCGCCAAGCTCTCGAAGTAGCCACCTTAACCATAAAATCTCACTCACTGTGCTGGCCATGGCACGATACTCAGCCTCGGCAGAAGAGCGAGCAACCACCTGTTGCTTCTTTGTACGCCAGGATATGGGAGCCCCACCAAGGGTAATAACATACCCAGTCGTGGACCTGCGGGTGGATTGACAACCACCCCAATCTGCATCACAATAACCAGTGAGCTCAAGTGAGTTATTACGAGGGAAGAAAAGACCTTGTCCCGGAGCACCTTTGAGATAGCGCAGTATCCTCTGCGCGGCTTCCATATGGGCATGCGTAGGAGCATGCACAAATTGGCTAAGTATATTAACTCCATACGTAATGTCTGGTCGAGTTACTGTGAGATAGAGAAGTCGGCCAACCAGACGTCGATAGGCAGCTGGGTTTGGATGATCGGCTGGTGCGGGGCGAGTGAGATGATGATTTTGCTCTACCGGGAATGCACTGGGGCGACTACCCGTCACGCCTGCATCATCCAAAATATCCAAGACATACTTACGCTGGCTCAGTATCATGCCTTCAGGTGCCCGAGCAACTTCGATGCCCAAGAAATACCGAAGTGGACCAAGATCTTTGATACTAAAACGTTGATGCAGGAAGGCCTTGACATGAGAGATAAACTCAAGGCTAGTACCTGCTAAGATGACATCATCCACATAGATAAGTGCCACAACGTGTGTACTCCCCTGTCGGAAGACGAACAGCGAGTGATCAGCCGGGGAGGGGCGGAATTGGAGTTCACGAAGTGCTGCGGTGAACTTATGGTACCAATTCCGCGATGCCTGTCGTAACCCATACAAGGATTTGTTCAACCGACAAACGCGAGTCTCCCCCGGAGCAGCAAATCCCTGTGGAATGCGCATATATACTTCTTCATCCAGATCACCATGAAGAAACGCGTTGTTGACGTCCAACTGATGAATAAACCACCCTTTACTAACAGCGACTGCAAGTAGACAACGAACAGTAACAAGCTTGGCGACGGGAGCAAAGGTGTCATGGAAATCGACACCTTCGATCTGAGTATATCCTTTGGCGACCAAACGCGCCTTATATCGCTCAACCGTGCCATCCGGGTGAAATTTCACCTTATACACCCATTTGCAGTCGATGACTCTCTTGCCGGGGGGAAGAAAAACCAAGCTCCACGTCCCATTCTCTTCGAGGGCCAAGACTTCAGCTGACATGGCCGCCCGCCAACGAGGGTCCTTAACTGCTTCATAGAAGGATCGAGGCTCGGGATGATGTGCCACAGCTGCGAGAAAAGCACAATAATTAGCCGAGAAACGATCATAAGTAAGCTGTGCAGATAAGGGATAACGAACTGACTGAGCTGTACTTCCCGTATAATAGATGTCCAGGTGCTTAGGTGGCACCCTGTTGCGTTCACCTCGGCGGAGTGGGGCAGGCTCCGGATTGGGCGAAGGCGGTTGATGTGCAGCGGGTGAAGATTCTCCCAAATGCAGGTCCATTGTGGAAGTCGGCTGCATGGGGGAAGCACTCGGCCGAGTGCAAGACTTGTCCGCTGTTGGTGAAGACAGGTCCAGCGGGCTGGACTGATCGGGCTCTTCAAGAGAGGTGGGCCGAGTTGGCCCAAGGGGCCGAGGTGATGCATCCAGGCGAGTGGGGGGAGATACGGCCACTGACCCGGGTAATGGCCCAGCCGAGGGAGAGAAAGGAAACTGGGTATGCTGGCGCTCACCATCGAGAAGTTCATTCTCGTCATCAACATGGCGTTCAAAAACAGACCCAGGCACCCAGGGGAACTGATCGGAGCATCCTTCCTGAAATGGGAAGACCGATTCATGAAAAACTACGTCTCGACTGGTGATGATTTTCCGCGTAGACAAATCGTAAGCCCGATATCCCTTCTGGCTAGCTGCATAGCCCATAAATACACACGCACGACCGCGTTCTGAGAATTTTCCCAAATTCGCGTGCGTATCCTTGCAATATACTAAACAGCCGAATACGCGAAGGTGATTGTATGCCGCCGGTTTTCCAAACACAATCTCATAAGGCGTGCGCCCAGTAGCTTTAGTAGGCAGCCTGTTGATCAAATATGCTGCCGTAAGCACGCATTCTCCCCAAAATCGAACTGGAAGAGAGGCTTGAAAACGCAGTGCCCGTGCTGTCTCAAGTATATGTCGATGCTTGCGTTCCACGACGCCATTCTGCTGAGGCGTATCAGTACAGGAAGTTTGCAAAGATATGCCTTCCTTCTCATAAAATTCGCACAATAATTTGGTCGCAAATTCAGGACCGTTGTCAGCTTGAATCTTCTTAACCTGTTTACCAAACTGAGTACGAACAAGGTTGCAGAATAACTGTATATAACGACCAACCTCCGACTTAAAACGAAGTAAATATATCCACACACCTCGACTGAAATCATCGACTATAGTCAAGAAATAATGAGCACCACTGTATGACGGAGTATGATAACCTCCCCAGATATCCATATGCAACATCTCAAAACAAGAAGTAGTACGAATCCCGCTAACGGGAAAAGGTGTTCTAGTCTGTTTAGCCCTTGAACACGAATGACATAATTCTACTGCCGACTCGACTGGAAAAGAAAAATTCGAACTTAATTTCTCCAATACTCCTGCTGAGGGATGACCCAACCTTGCATGCCAAGGCGCTCCCTGCCCTTTAACCACGGCATTGGCGCGTGCATGACCGCCAAACAACTTCAGAAAGTACAAACCATCACGAATCTCCCCCTTCCCAATCACGTTCTTGGAGTGTAAGTCCTGTATAACGCAGAAATCACCAAGAAAAATCAATGCCACATGATGTTCTTGACAGAGCCGACTGACAGAGAGTAAATTGCAGCTGAATTCCGGAACATGTAGAACCCGACTGAGAATTCTGTCATTACTGAGTCGAACAGACCCTATACGTTTCACAGGAATGCTCGCTCCATTTGGTATCCGTACTGGCTGACATGGTACATTATCATTGTATGCGAATAACAGAGAATCATCCATGACAATGTGTTCATTGCAGCCAGAATCAATAAGCCATTCGGGTTCATTTGAAAAGGAATACGTACCCGCCATGTGACTAGAGGGATCGGCAGCTCCTTGAGTCATACTGCCAAAGAATTGCTTCAACTGGAGTAATTGTTGAGGGGTAAAACCAGCAGTGGCACTCGCTTCAGACTCGGCCTGCGCTGCCCGAGGTTCACGACTCTGACCTCGTCCTCTTCCTTGCTCGCGAGCGTCACGATTGCGGCGGCGATCAGGTCTCTCGCCCGATTTGTCCCGAGACGGCCACCCAATGAGCTCATAGCAGCTCTCTTTAAGATGCCCAGACTTGTGGCAATGGGTACACGTCACTCGCTCCCTGTCACCCGACGATCGCCCTCGTGGGTTGCGCGCTTCAGCAGCCGGTTTTGCAGAATCTTCTTGGGCTGCGAAAGCAGCAGCTTCCGGGACGGGCTTCCGATTTTGAGTAATGGACCTTTGCTGTTCATCATTAAACACAATACGGAAAGCCTCGGGAAGTGAAGGTGTGACTGCCATAGATAGAATTTGGCTACGAACAGTAGCATAAGACTCGTCCAAACCGAGCAAGAAGTCTAGCAACCTCATGCTCTCATTCTGATCCCGACTCCTTCGGCCACATGCGCATACTGGCGGTGGAAGAATAGACTGTGTTTCTTCCCAGTTTTTGCGCAACTTAGTATAAAAACTTGAAACCGATTGCTTCTCTTGCTGCAACAAGCAAATATTACGACGTAGCTCATAGGCTCGTGTTAGATTACCTTTGCTAAAGCGATCACGCAGGTCCTCCCAGATTTCCTGAGCCGTTTTAGCATGCATTACGCTGCTGCGTAATTCCGCATCCATGGCGGTTCGCAGCCAACCCTTGACAAGTGCATCACATCGCATCCAGGCAAGGGACTGAGCCGATCCGTCTTCTGGTCGGGGAATAGAGCCATCTGCGAAACCAATCTTATTCTTTGTGACCAGGGCATCCGTCATCTCCAGGACCCATTCACCATAATTTGACGACGTTAATAGGCTGCTCACATGGAGATGTCCCGTGCTATCACTCTGGTGTATGAAAAGAGGGTTCGTGACGTCGATGTCCCCATTACCGTGGCTACCACCGCCACTGCCGCCAGAAAGCTTGGATTCAGGCGTTCCCGAGAAAGTAGAATCCTTCCCAGACATATTGAGTAATCGAGTGTTGGATCAATGCTCTGATACCATAATAAATTTGTAAGAACGATTTGCGGAATAGAAATAACACAGGTTTTACGTGGTATCCCCGAGTATCGGGACTAGTCCACGGGAGAGCTTAACTCTCCGGAGTCACTCTTATTATTCTTGTTCAAGTTGCGGCCAGAGGCCTTACATCATATTTATACCCTTTGTGTGCAGCTAGGGTATGAGAGGAATAAGGAAGATTCCTTTTACAACAAGGAACGGAAACACTTCCTACTATAATTGACCCATTATCATCATTCTCAACATGGGCCTTAGCTGCAGCGGGTTGCCTCTCCTGATGTCGCTGCGGATCTCGCATGGGTCGTGGACCTTGGGCCACGTCCATTAAGCCACTACAAGCCAACTTCCTGACGACGCCTTTTTCGGCGTCATCTTTAAGAAGGAAAGGTCCACCCTCACCCCCATACTCCTGATGTAGAGCCACGTAGTGACAGAACAATCAACACAGTCAATGTTGCTGACGGGGGCAGAATGCAGGAGGAGGGTTTTTTCTTAGGGCAGCAGCTGTGAACAGATTTGAGGGTAAGGTTTTCTTTTTAATTAGCTTTTTCTTGATGAGCTGGCTGAATTGGAGTCATTTCTGCGCGCGTTTTTTTGTTTTGTTTATATGTCTCTCTCAGTCGCGCCAATATTTAAAAGCAAGCAAGGGAGAGAGAGAGAGAGAGAGGTGGCGTTAGCTGCAGTTGTAGGTTTTGGGGATCCATTCATTCGTGTGAGATCCATAATTTATTAGTTCATTGTATCATCCACGTTAGGAATTCGTTCGAAAGATATAAAAAAGGCGGAAGAAAGTAAGGAATTATATATATATATATTTTTTTTTAATTGTCTCCTTTTCCGTTTCTCTGCCATGGCTTCTTCTCATTCCCAATCCTTCCTGTGTTCCCGAACAAACAGCCAATCCGCCATTTTTCCAACAACATCGCGGCTCAGCGCATAGCTGTTCTACGATCTCTGCTTCGTTCTCCATTCCTTCCCTTCATGGATACGCCCAGGCCGCCGGCGGAAGAACTACTCCGTAAGATACAGAAGCTGGAAGCCGGACAAGCTGAGCTTCATAAAGAGATGATGAGGCTTTCTAAGCTCTCCTCCGATCGGAAATCTGGTGAACAGCACCACCACGACCACCATTATCACCATCCTCCTCCTCTCTCTCGGTCCATCTCGCCTCAGCGTCGTCAAGGGACTGAACGGAGCTTCGAGACTGGTCCCGACATGGAGAAGAAGACCTCTCCGCCGCCGGTTAGGCATTCTTCTCCTTTACGACGAGATTCTCGCCGTACGAACAGCGGTTCCGGTAATCGTGGTGGTGGCGGCGGGAGGAGTGCAGGTCCGTCTGCTGTTAAGTTTAGCGATGAGCAGTACTTGAACATCTTGCAGTCTATGGGGCAGGCTGTTCATGTCTTTGATCTCTCCGGCAATCTTATCTACTGGTAAACTGATTCTGTCCACTCCGTTCATATTCAATCGTTTCTCGGAACTTCAGATTCATCGAAATTTTGCTGCAGGAATCGAGGTGCTGAAAACTTGTATGGTTATTCTGCCGCGGAGGAGCACTTCTACTATGCTATATAGTATTGGTGCTTTAATGTACAACTTAAAGTTGTACCATAACATTAAATGTATAAGTTTAGGTTGTACCATAAAGCAATTTGTACCATTATGTTATGGTACAACTTTACAACTTAAAGTTGTACCATCACATAAGGTACAAGTTCAAGTTGTACCATAAAAGAATTTGTACCAAGAGTATAGGTACAATATGAAGTTGTACCATATCGTAAATGTACAATTTTAAGTTGTACCATAAAGGTAAAATCCTATAGCACCAATACTATATAGCATTGTAAAATTTCTCGCCGCGGAGGCTCTTGGTCGAAACCTCATTGAGCTGCTTGTAGATCCCAAGGATACAACGATCGCCCAAGACATTGTTAATCGCCAACTCCAGGGCGAGAACTGGGCAGGACAGTTCCCAGTGAAGACCAAGATCGGCGGTATGATTACAGTTGTGGCGACAAATACATTTTTGTACGATGACGACGGTGCTTTGAGTGGGCTTTTATGCGTCTCTACAGATGCAAGGCCATTCCACGAAGTGCGGATTGATTTCTCTAGTCCCGTTGATACAGAAGCCGGTTCGAGTTCCTCCAACATTGGTGGCGATAGAGCCTGCAGCAGTGTCACTGCTAAGCTTGGTCTCGACCCCTCACTGCCTCTGCAAGAAGCACTCAAATCAAAGATATCTAACTTGGCAACCAAAGTGAGCAACAAGGTGAAGTCTAAGATTCGAACCGGAGAGAGAAACAACCTCGATGATGATCGCGTAGGTGGTAGTGGAAATAGTCATCATTCTGATGCAAACACCGCCGATGCTAGCACGCCTAGGAGGGAAGATTTTCAGCCATCTCCTTTCGTTGTCTCGCCTCCTGGCGATGAAAGGGAAGGGAAGCCGGCAATTCGCAAGATCATCACTTCGAAAGCAGAAGCGTGGATGGGTAAAAAGGGGTTGTCATGGCCATGGAAAGGGAACGAGAGGGAAGTTTCCGAGGAAAGAGCTAGCAAATTCATTTGGCCTTGGTTGCAGAATGATCAAGAGGGCGAAATGAATTATCCCTCTTGTGGGTCGTGGACATCTTCTGCAAATGTTAACAGCACGAGCAGTGTTAGCAGTTGTGGTAGCACGAGCAGCAGTACTGAAAAGAATAGGTTAGATGTGGAAACTGATAGCTTGCATTATGACATACTGTGGGAAGACTTGACTATTGGAGAACAAATCGGACAAGGTTCTCATCTTTGTAGAGACACTTGCTCTATTGTTGATTTAGTGGCTGCTTTCCTTCTGTGGCTCAAGTTAACCTTGCCATTACTCATTTTTATGTTGATGCAGGGTCTTGTGGGACAGTATGTCATGCCCTGTGGTGTGCATCAGTATGTTCTTCTCCTCATCTTCCTTTCTATCATTCTTATTCCATGTATGCTTATGTTAGATTTGACAGCTGAATATGAATTTGATATGAACAAATAACTAGCATCCTCAAGTTCGACATAACTGCGAGGAATATGATCTCCTTGTTGCCAATTTAGACCCACATTGTTCATACTCAACATTGCATCGAATTCTCTACGCATGCATATGAAAAATGTGCTGTAGTGCTTGGACGAAACTGAAGGAAATGCACCATAATGGGTTAGCGAATTTCTTTATCAAACCAGAAGCACTAAATATATTACCATTGGTTTGGTGGTCTTTCGTTTCCAGGATGTTGCGGTCAAGGTATTTGCCAAGCAAGAGTATTCCGAGGATGTGATACTTTCATTTAGACAAGAGGTGTGCTTTTTACCACAATTGGAACGTCCTAGTGAAAACTGTATTTTTCTTTTCGTTTGAACCTCCTGTAAATTATTGTCTGTTGTTGAAGGTATCCCTTATGAAAAGACTTCGCCATCCAAATGTCCTGCTCTTTATGGGTGCTGTGACCTCACCTCAGCATCTTTGTATTGTTACAGAGTTTCTACCCCGGTACTTCCCTAAAATCTACTCGTCTTAAGTTGCCAGCTATACCTTTCTTTCTTGAATGCTAAATCAATTAGACTGACACACTCTCTTCATGTTTGCCTTATGCAGAGGAAGTTTGTTCCAGTTACTCCAACGGAATGCAACAAAACTAGAGTGGAGACGGAAAGTGCACATGGCATTGGATATTGTAAGTAGTGAATCCACTTCAGAATTCTGAGTGGTTCGTTTGAGAAGCATTGGCTGATCTTTCTTAGTGAATCTGTAGATGAAGTGTTGGACAACTTACTGTTTGTATCATCTGTTGAAACAGGCGCGGGGTATGAACTATCTTCATCATTTCAACCCTCCTATAGTTCATCGTGACTTGAAGTCTTCTAATCTTCTGGTTGATAGAAATTGGACGGTGAAGGTAAAGTCTCCTTGTCACCAATCTAGTTTTGGCCATCTTTACCCCTCAGAAGCTGAAAAACCAATTTTATGATTCTCTTACCAGGTTGGTGATTTCGGGTTGTCGCGTTTAAAGCATGAAACATTTCTAGTAACCAAGTCCGGAAAGGGCACGGTAAGCAGTTGTTCCAAATGTTAGATTTCGAATTCGGAATTGAGGAGTAAGTAGAATTATAATTTCATTTTATTGAGTTCTTATGGAATTGTTCAAACAAGTCCGTTTATTTGCTGTTTTTCCTACTTGCATGTGTAGCCTCAATGGATGGCCCCAGAAGTTCTCCGCAATGAACGTTCCGACGAGAAGTAAGTCGCCCTCCTCCTGTTATACTTCGCCGTACATTTCCTCTATAGCGGGCATAGTTCGGAAGCTTCAAACACTTCATGCTGCTTAGTACTTTCTTCAATGCCTCTTCTCCTGTAGGTCTGACATCTACAGCTTCGGAGTAATACTGTGGGAACTTGCGACGGAGAAGATTCCTTGGGATAATCTCAACTCAACGCAGGTGCTCTATACTAAAGCATAGTTTTCCCTGTTCAGCAGTATGTCAAAAGATTCGGCATGGCATACGTGAACAACATCATGATATTTAGTATTAATTTCAGATAATTGGTGCTGTGGGATTCATGAGCCAAAGGCTAGAAATACCAAAACACGTCGATCCTCGTTGGGCATCTATAATGGAGAGCTGCTGGCTCAGGTACTTCATTATTTCTCATCTTGAATCTTTCTTTCCTTTCTGCAGAATTCGGTTCCATCGGATTACCACCTGGGAAAGAAATTTTGTAATACAGTATTCCAGTTATAGGATTTATCCCAAGTCCCCAGCCATGAATGTGTCAGGTTTTAGGGCTATTGTTATCTATTGACATGATTGATGAGGGTTACGGCCCCTCAGTTTAGCTGTAAAATAGACAACCAGAAAACAAGAGATTGTTTTTCATTTCCCAAAATCTTTCTGAGATCGAAGTTGATATCTTGCGTTTGATTATTAAGTAATAAAGAATACCTTGTGGAATCAATCCTTTGGTGAGGCTAATCTTTTTATTGATTGGTATTTACTATCTTAGTAACAATGGAAGGTAAACGTCCTGAGTGTGAGTGGTAGGGTGGGCATCAGGTCCGGTCTAGATTCGGAAATCAAGGAACCATCAGTTTGATCAACCCCAGTTCTCCGCTCCTGTAATCATGGGATCGGCTAAGCCGTTAGAATATGTTATTTTTTCTTTGTAAACTGCAGTGACCCAGCCAGCCGCCCGACGTTCCAAGAACTACTGAAAAAGCTGAGGGACATTCAGAAACAGTATACCCTTCAGCTCCAGGTTGCCCGTTCTACTGCAGTCGCTTCTGGTGAGCACATCGCCCTCACCTCCCACAAGGAAAGCTAGCAAATCCCATGCAGAGCAGCCAAACGAAACCCCTCGCCAAGTCGCAGAACTTTTCTCTGTGATATCGTAGCCTCCGAAGATGGATCCACCCCTGATCTGATTGCTGGGGATCATGTGGGTTTGTAGTGCCACGCAGCAACAGAACAAACAAGAGGTTAGTGTTGCTGCGGCTGACGGTCGAGAGCAGGGCAGAAAAGCAGAAGGATGGAGATTACGATGGAGCAAGTTGATGGCAGCCATGTGAGATTACGATGGAGGGAGAGTTTTGCACTTTCTGATGGCGGTCTGAGTTGGTTTGTGTTTTGTATATGTTTTACAAATGGAAAAGGAGAAGGGAATGGTGGTCTCATCTCATCTCATGCAACAGATGTTTTTCTAGGACCACTGACATTAATTCCATTGTGCAGATTCAAAAGGTAAAACGGCAAAAGAAGGTAACAAAATAAGTTTCTAGTGGCCGTCTCTGCATATATGCCTGTTTTCTTGCATGCTGGTTATCAATGGCGTCGTCGACATCATTACCAACTCTCAAGGATAGTGGATTGATTGTGCGAGTGCGACCCAGGAGTACAAGACTAGTTGGCCAATAATCACAGGATACAACTTGCAAGAATTAAGGTTAGATTCCAACACATGATCGACCTATCATGCAAGAACTCCATCTCAGAGGTTACAACGAAAACCAATTTGAACGTTAAGAGCCTCAAAACTAGATACAAGAACACAGGCTACCATCACTCACGTGTGCGAATGAATTCTCCAGAAGTAGCATGGTCAAGAAGAAGCAGAAAGCCCTTCCATCTATTTTCACAGTCCACAACGAATTCATTGCGCTACATGGAGATTGAAGCAAGTTCAGTTCCAACTTTCTAGTTGATCCCGATAGTTACCTGGTGTATAAGGCATTGAATAGCAGCGACCGCATCGCCTTTGTGCTCCCGCAACGTCCTCTCTGCCACCTTCTTGTCCAGCTGTTCAGCATTGAAACAATGCCAAAAAAGGTCAGGAATCTCTAGATACATAAATGGAGGTTCTTCGGACCATCTAAGAAATGAAAAACAACGGAGCAATAGACCCAGAAAATATGACCTCCAATTCACTCGCGATTATGTCGACATCTGCTGGATTGATCTTGACTGCAGCTAGTTCTTTCTCCCTGCTCAGTTAGGGGGAAATGGAAACAAGCTACTGGTTTAGTTCAAATTTCAACAGTCGTCACAGAGTGCCAAACTGCGTAGAGACTTAAAGCTTGCACTAAAATGTGGTTTGATCATAGGACGGTGAACTACATTCTGACAATCATCGACCATTCGCGCTTCTAAGACACTGCGAGGCCACATCGGTAGCAGAAGTGCTTGCCATTAACAGTAACAAGTTCAGGAGATTAACAGTCATAATATAGTAAACCATTCTCCCCAAAGATATGGCGTCCTGATCGCCATAAGCTTTGGATTATAGCAAATGGCAAGCAACCAGCCTAGCAACTCAACTCCGAAGAGCAAAAGCTCGCAGCTCAACAACTTTGAAAATCAGTTATACAGAAACCTACTACCGCATTCCGCCATGGAAACTCCAGCATAGTTCAACTATCCTAAATCCCAGCGGAAAAATGGAGGCAATACTATCAACATAGTCCATAACACAAAACGAAAGAACGAAGATACTGGATATATTGTAGACCAATTGGCGTTACCTCAATCTCATAGCGTTCCAATCTGCTTCGGAAGACGCAGCTATTGATGCCATAGCCTAATTGCACACAGAGCGGCGGAAAGCGAGAAACAGTTAGAATCTGAGTGAAAATCATGGAGGAAACTGGAAAGCAACAGGGAGAGAGAGAGCGGAAGGGGAAAAACCTCTTGAACGCGGGTGGAATCGAGCTGGCGATCCTCGACTCGGTCGGTGAGCTTGTCGAAGGCCTTGCTCTGTTGCTGCATGTCCTTGGAGTCGACGACTCGCTCCACTCCTTCGTCTCCAGCCTCCATTTCTGCAAATTCTTCTCTCTGCAGCGAAATTTCGCAAGCACCGGGAAGGAATTCTATGACTGAAGGAAGCAGCTGTTCGTTCTTCCACACTCTCCAACTCTCTCGATTTTTATGGCTGATTTTCGCGTTTATTCGGTTTCTCTCCTCTCCTCTCTTTAAGCGGGACTGGAACTTTGGTCCGAGTCCGACACGAATGGCGGCAAACGCTTTATGGGTCCTATCACTACAAAAGCCCGCTGAAACAAAACTCAACCGACCAGTAATTCAGGCCCATCGATAAGTCTGTTAGTAGTGGGCCAATGACGCACCAAGTGGAGTTATAGTGCTAACTCTATAAAAGTTATCACCGTGCTAACCACTCTTATCAGCTTTCATTATTTTTTAAATTAAATCGAACGATGAAGATTAAGGAGGAGTGGTAGACCCCGAAATCTAGGATGCGAGAATGCGGTGAAATTGGGAATGAGTTTAGATCAATTAGGGATTGATCTAGGGATTGAGAATTGGAAGAACGAGTTGAGGGAGAGAGGAAGAAGGGTTCGGTCGAGGCCTAGGGAAGAGAGTGAAGATTTCGATTAGAGAAGAAGAATAGAGAGGGAGGATTAGGGTTTTAATATTCTTATTAATCTTAACCATAAACCTGACTTACACCGATACTTATACTAATCGTTAATTATCCTCTTTACTACCCGAACTAATAACCTAATCATAATACTCCCTCCCTAATAATAACCAATCACAATAATCCGACAATTACTATAATTCCTAATAATTATAAAATGTGTTCATCATCCATTTCCCATTGAAGCGCAACCTTGCCCTCAAGGCTAGTCATTCTCGCTCTGCTCCTCCTTCATTTCCTTGCTGCATTCCTCGCCTACTTCATCTTCCCAATGCCCCAGAAGCATCATCAAATCCGGCTTCGCATACTGGTGCTCAAAAACGAACTTCTCATTGCAATTGAAGCATTTTCCTTACCTCATTTTCTACTCAATCTCCGCAAGGGTCAAGGGAACAACCCCCTTTGGTGGCGCACGAACCTGAAACGGTTAGTTCCTGGTCCCACTTCCCCGAAGATTCCAGCAGCAGTGCCAACACCGCCCACAGAACCTCCTCCACCACTTCCCGCCGCCACGACTTGTCTGCCACTCCCGTTCGCCTTCGGGTATCTCCCCACCGTGCTCCGCAGCTTGCAATCTCCTCCTCTTTAAGCATTGCCAAACGGAAAGCAGACCTCAAGGAGTCGGGCTCAAAAACTCTTACTACTGCAGCAATCTCCGGACGCAGCCCCACCGTGCACAGCCCGATCAAGGTCTCTTCCGACACTCCCTTGCACTGGTTTCCCAGCTTAATGAACTCTGCCCTATACTCCATGACCGTCCCTGTCTGTCTCAACTTTGCCAGTTGCTCTGGTGCCCATCCCTCAGACTTGTCGAACTGATATCGAACTTCCTCCTGAAATTGAGGCCAAGATATGGGCATCCTCTCTAGGGTCCCGTCCTCCATTCGAGTCATCCCGTAGGGAAGGTAGCCGCCTCACGGCCCTTCTCGCGCTGTCTGCTAGCCCCCCTTGTCGCAACCACCCTGCGTGCTTTCCAGTTCGGACACAACCAGGTTCGGAATGAGGTTGGACCATTCCACCTAGGTCCGGCCCTGCCAAACCGGTATGATCGATCCTCCACTATCCGACGATCAGCCCACGCACTAGTCCTGCCCTGTCCCATCAAACTCATTTCTTCATCATCCTCATCGTGCCATCTCTGCCTGCTCAAACATCACATTTTGAACGACGTTGTCATACCCTGCCAACTTTTACTTCCCCTTCCGTGCCGCCGCGACCTCCTACTCAGACAGAGTTGGCAGCAGCCCATCGCCCTGCCCTATCTCTCGCGCAACGGACGTCGGGGGGCGAGGACCTCAGGGGCCACTCTGTTGCCGCTCGTTCCTCCTCGACCACGATCACGCCCCCGGTTCCCATGACTGTGGCCTCCCTGCTCTCTGGCCTCCGCCTCCTTGAGCTCCGCCTCGGTCGGCGCTGGACCCTCCTTGCCTGCATCAATGCTTCCTTTTGGGGACAGCCTCCCGGACAACTGTACCAGGACCTTCGAAAGCAACAACACCATCTGGTTCGCGTTCGCGTTAGCTTTTTCAGCAGCTAACCTCGCGTTCTATGCAACCTGGTGGATGGAACGGTTAATCTCCTTCAGCCCTTCCTCTAGATTTCCTTGCATCATGGAGACCTTGAACATCTCTGTCCGGACCTCAGCCCAGTCCGGATCTTCGATGCATTCTTCGTCGCGTGGTGGCTGCATCAGCGCCTTCTCCTTTCCTTGGCTTGCGCCACCTTGGTCCCTCTCGCCACGGTGACCGTCGCTGCCTTGTCTCCTGGCTTCTTTGCGGTGGTCGACGTGGTGACCTTGTTGCCACCAGTTTTCTCTTTTGGTGCTCTTGTGGTAGTCATGTTTGGTAGTCCTCCGCACGCATCCGGCGCTCTGATACCAAGATGATACACCCCGAAATTTAGGGTGTGAGAATGCGCTGAAATTGGGAATGAGTTTAGATCAATTAGGGATTGATTTAGGGATTGAGAATTGGAAGAACGAGTTGAGGGAGAGAGGAAGAAGGGTTTGGCCGAGGCCTAGGGAAGAGAGTGGGGATTTCGATTAGAGAAGAAGAATAGAGAGGGAGGATTAGAGTTTTCATATTCTTATTAAGCTTACCCATACACATGATGTACACTGATACTTATACTAGTCTTCAATTATCCCCTTTACTACCCGAAATAATAACTTAATCATAATATTCCATCCCCAATAATAACCAATCATAATAATCCGACCAGTAAACCAACAATTACTACTAATTCCTAATAATTATAAAATGTGTTCATCAATGAGTTTGTCTGATATTTAGGAAATTAATAATAATAGAAATTAATTTTAAAATATCTCTCCTCCCTTGTAGAGAATTTTTACACGAAGAATACTACTGGAAAACTACTACTACCTAAATTAGTAGTCATTTAGCAAAGATATTGTAGTGATTTTATGATTGTTGGTAACAATTTTATTTTCATTTATAGCATTTTTTAATGAGTAGTAATTGATGATTTGATTTTCATTTACAGACACAGTTGCTACTAGGGATGTAAATGAGCCAATCGAGCTACTCGTGAGCGGCTCGGTGTTTGACTCGAGAAAAATTTGTCCGAAACTTGACTCGTTTACTAACAGGCTGAGCTTGAGCTTCTGCAACTTGCAGAGCTTTCGAGCTAGCTCGACTTGATAGCTAGTTGAGCTCAACTTGTGAGATGGCTCGTTTAGAGCTCATGGATGTCTCAACTTTCAACATTGTGGCTAG